TGGTAAGGGGTTTGGGGTGATTTCTTTTCAATGCTCTGTTCAGTGGTTTCGGGTCAGTGCAGATTCTCAGTTTAGCTGAAAGTGTTCTCACTGCTACTAGACAGCTGATCTACTAAGTGCTAGTTTCAGCGAGTAGAATGATGCCTCTTCTTTACAGGCTTTGCCAGTTCTTTCTTCAGTGGCTTCACCAGAGCACATGAAACTCTGTGTTTCAATAGTCTCATGAGCTGCATACAGGGATCTATTTCTAACTTCAGCTTCCTCTCTAGCTGGCCATCTCCTTGAAAAATGTCCTTATATTCTGTTATTCTAGACAGAGCCCATGGTGATGGTTTTCCCTCTTCTTTCATGTTGAAGATATTCTGGTCTTTTACTGTGAGGAAATCCAGGGCTTGCAATGGCCTGTTGCCCAGCAATGGGTGGTACTGTGTGTCAATACCAAGCAATAATATCTGTTGTTTCATGGGCTTCTTATCAACAGTCTGCATTAGCCCACTCACCTCAGAATGGTTTTATTGTACATCACCAGCACTGGGTCACATTTCTCCAGTCTTATTATATTGCTGCTTATCAGTGTTTGTGAAGGGTTGGATCACAGAAACCCCCTTTGGGATTACCAGCTGATGTGCTGTGGCTACCTCTGAGTCTGTTTTCCCTGCCAGCTTAGTACTTCAGTGCCCTGCCTGGTTTGAGCCAGACACGCTTGCCTGCTGCAAACCCAGACCCAGGTCTGAATTACGTCCCTCAAAAGCTGCAGGCTTAACTGAAAACAGCTTAAGAAGTGTTCCTGTCTCCAACACTCAGATGCACAGTTCCCAATGGAGTCCAAACCCCAAATAAATCTGTTTTACCCTGTATAAAGCTTATACAGGATAAACTCATAAATTGTTTACCCTCTATAACACTGATAGAGAGATATGAACAGCTGTCCCGTCCCCCCCAACAGGTATTAAAACATACTCTGGGTTAATTAATAAGTAAAAAGTGATTTTATTAAATATAAAAAGTAGTATTTAAGTGGTTCCAAGTAATAACAGACAGAACAAAGTGAATTACCAAGCAAAATAAAATAAAACACGCAAGTCTACACCTAATACAGTAAGAAAATTGAATACAGATAAAACCTCACCCTCAGATGTTTCCATAAGCTTCTATCACAGACTGGATGCCTTCCTAGTCTGGGCACAGTCCTTTCCCTGGTACAGCCCTTGTTCCAGCTCAGGTGGTAGCTAGGGGATTTTTCATGATTGCATCACCCTTTGTACTGTCTCACCCCCTTATATATCTTTTGCACAAGGCGGGAATCCTTTGTCCCCTTCTGGGTTCCCATGTCTCCTTCTAAGTAGAAAAGCACCAGGTTAAAGATGGATTCCAGTTCAGGTGACATGATCACATGTCACTGTAAGACTTCAAGCCTTCATTCCTCCCAACCTGACTCACAGGAAGGCCTGCAAGCAAACAGAGCCATCCACAGTCAATTGTCCTAGTTGATGGGAGCCATCAAAATTCCAAACCACCATTAATGGCCCACACTCTGCATAATTACAATAGGCCCTCAGAGTTATATTTCATATTTCTAGTTTCAGATACAAGAATGATACATACATACAAATAGGATGACCACACTCAGTAGATTATAAGCTTTGTAATGATACCTTAGAAGAGATCTTTTTTCATGAAGCATATTCCAGTTACATTATATTCACACTCATTAGCATATTTTCATAAAATCATATAGAGTGCAACATCACAGTGTTACTGGGATTTTTTACAGCTGGCTCCACAATCCATCCGGAATCAAACTAGTCATAGATTTAATAGAATAGTTACAAATGTGGCAATTGAATGGCTGGCAGCCTTCTTCTGCAATGCATGTACATTGAGAGTCTTTGTGTCTACTAAAATCACACTGCAGACTTCCTCCTCTTCACTGGAAGTCTGTATGTTCTCCATCACAGCATACAAAACCGCTATTTTCTTCCTGAGCTAGCTATAGAATCAGGACAGAAAGTGGTTCTGTTTCCACCCCTTGCACTATTGCCACAAATTGAGCATTTTTGTTTCTGCCTTTCATGTTGCTTGCTACAGTATACACACTGAACCATGATATCTGCATTCTTTGGGTATGTCTACACTCTGAAGTTGTCAACAAAACTTTTGTCTTTCATGGGTACTTAAAAAAGACCCCCGTAAAAGATAAAAGTTTTGCCGACGCAAGTGGCAGTGTGAATGTGGCTTTGTCGGCAGGAGCACTGCCGACAAAGTACTGACAAAAGTCAGTGTGTGTAAACACTCTAACGACAAGGCTGTGTCGATGCAGCCTCGTTGCTAAAAGCTGCGGAGTGTAGACAATCCTCCGGACTGTCCCTGTCTTGCTTGCTTCCCCTCCTTTAGCTCAAGCCTTGTACTTGTTCTGTACCAGTTATTGTTTTGATCTTTTCCCTGGAGAGTTTAGCTGCCCTTGCTATTTGAAGACACTTCTCTAGGGTTAGATCTGTTTCTCTCAAACACTCTCTCCTGCAAGTTGGAATCATGTGTCCCACAAAGTACCCTCTCTCTAATTAGGGAATCCTTAATGTCTCCAAAGTTATATGTGGAGGCCAGAGTTCCTAGCTCTGTAACTTAAGTATCTATTCCTTTCGACTGCTTTTTAGTTTCAGGCAAAAAACCCAGTATCTCTCTACAGTCTCATTCAGTCTAGGGCACAGTACTCAAACACCTTTATCAGCTGTTAAGAGTGTTTCAGATGTTAATTCTGCCAACAGTCTCTAGCTCACTTCTCATCCTTTTTCCCCAGTGAGATAGTGAAAAGTTTTACCTTCATTATTTCATCTTTATCCCTCCCATGGTCAGATCTGCATACACACTCAATTTTTGCTTCTGTGAGGCAAAGCCACAGCCAGACCAGGGTTGCTTGCTCAGCTGCCCCTCTAACAGAACGGAGAGGAACTCTGCGACTGTGCAGCTATTTCTGATCCTCCCTTAAGTCAAGTCTCCAGGCAGAGTTTCTCTGGGTCATGTCAACTGGCTCCCTGGACACCTACGAGGAGGAGTGGGCACTGTCTGAGGTTCTAGATCCCTGCTTTTGACCCTGTGACCCTCACCTCCTGTTCTTGTTTTATCATTTGTTGTCCTGCAAAATTTCTTGAGCCCTGTGTCCAGTAGCTCCTCCCCTTAGGCTGGGGTTAGGGGCCTTTAGATGTGAGTCTGCTTGCACCCACCCAGCCCCAGAGCCTCAATAGGTATGCCTGCAACAGAGCCGCAGTGAGACATCACACAGGCATGCAGCAACAACTCAGCTGCACTGACTTACCCTTCCCACAAATCCTTCAGTGACTCAGCCTTCAGGCATGTGGCAGCAGCCTATCCCTGAGCACAGCCTGGGTCAGATGACCCCTAGCTCAGGTATTTTCCCAACCTCACCAAAGCTGCAAATCAGTCTGTTATACAACAGAACTACCTTCCCAGAAACCTTTCTGATGCCTCACAGTGTAACTGACTCTCTAGATTCAGTGGTTGCTCTTGATTCAGTTCCTGCCCCAGCCTTTCATGAGCCCTGTTCCATTCTTGTCCTTGCCATACCCTGATCTTGCCCCAGCCCTGTTACCGACCCACTCCAGTCTTGCCTCCATCTCCTGATCCTTTCAGACTCTGACCACCCGGCTTCAACCTTTGGCCTACACTTGGACTCTGACTATAGTACTGATTTTGACTCATCTATGGACTCTGAGCTCGGTTCTGACCGCAGCCTGACTCTGGCCCTCGGTTCCAGTGCTACCCCTGGCCCAGTCCTGACCCTACATCCAGCTTTGACCTTTGCTCCAAACACTAGGACTGACTACCCAGAAACAACACCTGACAGCTTCCATGCTTGTGCAAGGTTTTTTGTCTAGAAATCCAGCATTCCTGGTGATCTGAATTCCTCCATGCTGCCTCTTTAATCTGCTTCTAGGTGCTGGTTTGTTTGCCTGTTAATCACACTCTCTTTCTTGCTGTGCGTCTCACTAGACTGACCACTGTCACCATGTTTTATGTAGCACATACTGGATAACGACATTAAGGACTACATGATTGTAAAATTTAACTGGTTCTTTATGAAAAAAAAATGTACAGAGAAGTTGCAGCTAGTATTCTAGCCATGTGCATGCAGACTGACTTCCTTGTGCCCCCTCTAAACTCGTCTCTCCTGCAACCTGTGCTCCTCTCTCAAAGTTTCATGCAGTCTGCTACAACGGCTATCTTAAAGCCAGATACTCTTGTGGGTAGATGATCTTTTCATAAGGTTACTCTATATATGGTTTGTCACAGCATAGTGGTTTCCTAAAATAATATCTTTAAAAATCCTTGAAAGGATTTGTCACCTTTGGATTCAGAATTCTGTTAAATCTCTTCACAGCTGTAAATAAATACTACTTATGTGATGGATAGTTCCTTACATCCCACCTCAACTACTGTAACATTCTTCCCTCCGGCCTCCACATACATACACATTGCCTTCCTTCAATCCATACAAAATGCAGTTACCAAAGTCATCTACTTTGCCTATCAATTTGATCGTGTCATTTCCCTCTCTGAATCACTCCACTAGTTCCCAATCCACCAGTGCGACAAATTTCTGCTTCTTATCACCATATTCATAACTCTACTTATCCTCCCCTTGCCAAGATTCACATTGCCCCACTACTTTTCAATTCTAAAATGGCTCCTGACAATAGCCGTAAGTGGCTCATCCAAGTCTTCTTAAACCAGAAACCACCTTCTGGAACAATCTTCTAAAATACAATAGTACGACACAATAATGCACTATCATGATCTTTACCAGTAACACATGGTAACATATGCAGGACAATTAGACTTTCTTCTAATCCTTCTCCCCCCTAGATTAATTTTCAGTCAAATTAATATAGGATAGCTTTCCTTCATTTTTTATTATCCTAAAATAAAACACACTGAATATTGCACTGTATCAAATATTAAATATAAGCTTGTCAAAAATTCACCCCATTTAATAAAGCAAAGGGCTCCCATTCATATGAATGAAACAGGATTGTCAATTTCTGCTTTGGATGTTACTGTGGTGAAGCCACATGTCAAAGATCAAATTAATTATTATACTGAGCCATCTGGTATCCAGACAACTGGCTGCAACCTGTGATAAAAAGAAGTCTCTAAACATTTACAGGCTTATGAATGATGGGTTTAACATCTAGACTATCAAACAAAATTTTCAAAGAACAACTAGGTATTTTATGATATATTTATATAATAGTATGCCTCTGCAAGTGAAAAACAGTTCTGAAAGTTCTTCAGGCATATTTTAATTGATGGAATAATGTGTTGTTAATTTAAAACGGTTGTTTAAAGTTTGCTGTCTATTAGGTGAAGTTTTGCAAGCAAGTCATTATGTGAAGATTTACAAACCGATATCCATGAACAAAAAAGCAATGTTTTATCTTACATAACACTAAGCTCAATAGACCTCCAAAATACATATTGTGAAATGAAAACACTTACTCTAAATAAATTTTTTGCCCTAAACATAGATTGGAAAAATGAGCAAGAATTGATTTATAGCTATCATTTTTTACCAGTAGGCATGCATAAGTGCTACCCAGCAGAATAATTCAGAGAACATGGAAGTAATTTAAAATAAGCAGCAGCTTCTTGCATGCCAAACAAACAGAAATTAAAATTAATGGTTCCTCAGAACTTCCAAACTCAACATTAAATCATATTAAGGGCCTAATACTGGCCTCTTTACCCTGAAACAAATCATACCCTACACAATAAAAACCTGTATTAGGGCCAGGAAACTTAATGAATTTTAACTTGTGTACTTTCCTACACATCATCCTGCTTGCCCTTCTTCCTCATTGTCATAGAGTGGTCAGAAGGGAACTTGGCCTGAAAAGGCCAATACAATATAGCTAATCACAGAGAGCTGTGAGCCAGAGGGAAACAAACCCAGTTACCATAATAGGAAGTGGTGCCCATTTTTGTACAAGTCCCCTTCACTTCACGGATGTTTTGCAATGGGATGATTTCACCCATAGGTGAAATTGCCATTGGCTACAATGTGAGAGATGACTGAGTCAGGAAGAGCTAGATCAGGTGCTGAAGGCGCTCTAGCATAAATAGGCTTTGTAGAATTCTTTTTTTTTTTATAATTTCAACAGATAATATTGATGTTTACTTTTAAGCATCTTTTTCAATTTTTATCTATTTACATTTTCACAATTGTACAAAATTAGGGTTTTAAGGGTCTTTTAAATTTAATTTGAGGGAAATTATGGGGAGCATCAGACAATAATTATTTAATGACAGACGTAAAGATTCAAGAGGTTAATCATTAAAACACAAACTGTCAATGTCACATATTTAAATGTACAAAGCAAATATCCTTAAATCAAACTCTAATAAGTCCTTAAGCAATATTTTTCCTACTTGGCCTATCTGTAAATTTTGATTATCAATGAAAATATTTTTCATCAGTTGGTGTGTGTGTGTGTGTGTGTGTGTGTGTGTACAGTGACCAATATTTAGCAATAAAAATCAAATCCTTCCAAGCCTAAGCATAATGTTGTTCAGAATTAAAGTTAAAAACAAAAACAGTTAAAAATTATAAGAATCTTGGAAAAAAATATACTCTACAGTTAAACATTTTGGTTAAATAGTGTCATAGAGTCAGCATTAATATCCACATAAGCTAGGATGACCAGATGTCCCGATTTTATAGGGACAGTTCCGATTTTGGGGGCTTTTTCTTATATAACCTATTACTCCCCACCCCCGTCCTGATCTTTTACACTTGCTATCTGGTCACCCTAACATAAGCAAATCATTAATTATTTGTACGATTTATTAATTTGTTGAAAAGTGTCATGTAACTGGTAATTGTTGTGATAAATATTCCATGCACTTTCAGTTTCTGGGGGAAAAAACATCACACCAAACCTTTTAATAACAAGTCTACTAGTTCTACAGTGTATTGAAGAAAAAAAACTTCATGTAAATTTATACTCTGGCACTTTATAATAATACATCAATGTGCTTTTAGAAGAGCTGGCCAAAAAATAATAAGCATTTTCTGCAAAAATATTTTGAAAGCAGCAATTCTTTTTTTTTTTCAAAAATTTCCAAGGAAGTTCTCAGTTTTTTGATGGGAAAAAGAAAAACAATATATTTAGTTTTTGAAAACTGTGGTGGGATGGCTGCCCCAGACAGGGAGAAGAAGGGGATTAAAAGCAGCGTCAGGGAGGCTGCGCAGAACCCACGAATGAGGAAAGGGCTTATTGAGCCCACCAATAGGGGGAAGGCTTGCTGAAGCAGCCAATTAGGGCCGGCGAGGGCCATATATAAAGGGCTGCTCAGCAGAGCAGAAGAGAGTCTCACTCTGGAAGGCAAGGGAGGAGGACTAGCTGCCTGAAGAAGTGTCATAGCTATAGCAGTGCTGGGCAGGGACAGCAGAGTGTGAGGGTGAGCTGCTGGCTGACCACTGCTAGGCTGGGGCCTCGCTACAAGAGCTGAGAGTGTGCTAGGGCTACGAGGCAAGCGGCCCAGGGAAAATAGGCAGCAGGTTGGAGGAGGGCAGTAGGTGGCTGCCGGCTATAGGGTCCCTGGGTTGGGAACCAGAGTAATGGG